CTCCTCTATCCATCTTCTATCCGCCTCCCCCTCTCTCCCTATTTATTTCAGAATCCCCTTCCCCTCCCCCATTTCTGAAGAAGGGTTTAGGCCTGAAACGTCAGCTTTCCTGCTCCTCTGATGCTGCTTGGCCTCCTGTGTTCATCCAGCTTACACCTTGTTATCTCAGACATACAAAATATTGTAGCTTCTGAATTTGCTCACAGTAACTCTCCATCCGTACTCCTTTGTCAACCTACTGTGTTTGCTCAGCTGCGCTGACTCCAGATGGTGAAGAGATTCAAAACTCTCATTCTTAATTTCTGATCTTTTCACAGTCTTGCACACTCAGTCATTTTCTGCATTAATATTAATTGTGGTCATTGTCGCCCCTCCCTTTTGGAAGTTTTGGCCATTTTTGTTGATGAAGTCGAGAACAGGGGGCGTGGTGGGACCCAAACTGAGTCGGTTATTGGTGAGCAATGCTGCTTCATAACACTGTCAAAGATACTTCCTGTTGATTTATTTAAGATATAAAGGGTGTTAGATGGGATGGTAATGGGGGTACACAGCTTTTGGACAGGACAAATTTTCAAATGTTTTGATGGCTAGCTCTTGTTAAATTTGCAATCATCTTACTGATTCAAAGTATGTAACTTGTTATTAATGTTAATGAGATGTTGTTATTATAAATTGTATGATTCCACCCTTGTCCAAATAGAGATTGCATTTATTTATGTTTCTTATTGCAGCGTCTGAATTAGAATGTTGTCAGTTCAAGTCCTACCTCAGAAATTTGGAGCATACCAGCCAGGCTGATACTTCCAGCGTAATACGAGTACAGAGGGTGTGCAACACTGTCAGAAGTCCTGCCTTTTGGATGAGAATATTAAACTGGGCCAGTGGGTTGAGGAATGGCAGGTGAAATTTAATTTTGATAAATGCAAGGTGTTGCATTTAGGTAAGACAAACCAGGGCAGGGCTTACACAGTTAATGATAGGATACTGAGGCATGTTTTCGAACAGAGAGATCTAGGGGTGCAGGTACATAGTTCCTTGAAAGTGGCATCACAGGTAGACACTGCAGAGAAGGTGTTTTGGCACGCTTGCCTTCAACGCTCAGTGCATTGAGTATAGGAGTTGGGATGTCCGGTGACGGCTGTACAAGATATTGGTAAGACATATTTGGAGTACTGTGTACAATTCTGGTTGCCCTGCTGTAGGAATGATGTTATTGAACTGGAAAGGATGCGAAAAGGTTTCAATGATGTTACCAAGACTTACCAAGGGTTTGCGTTATAAGAAGGGGTTGGATAGTCTGGGACCTTTTTTTTCCCTGGACTGTAAGAGGCTGAGGGTTGACCAAGGTCTTTTTCCCAGGGAAGGGGAGCCCAAAACTGGAGGACATAGATTTAAGGTGAGAGGGGAAAGATTTAAAAGGGACCTGAGGGGCAATTTTTTTCACACTGGGTGTGGGTTATGTGCGTGTATGGAACGAGCATCCAGCGGAAGTGGTAGAGGTGAGTATGATTACAACATTGAAAAGACATTTGGACAAGTACGTTGATAGGAAATGTTTAGAGGGATATGGGCCAAATGTGGGAAAATAGGACTAGTCAGTTTAGGAAACATGGTTAGCATAGATGAATTGGGCCTAAGCGTCTTTTTCCATGCTATATGACTCTAAGCAAAATCATATCTGGCCTCAGATAATTGTAAACAATTCTTTGATACTTAGTTTGAAAACCAGAAAGGAAGCTCTCCTGGTATCCCAACCCATATTTGTCCCTCATCCAACATAGCTAAAAAATGAATATCTAGTCATTTCACCATTGTTTGTGGGATATTGCTGTGTGGCAATTGACTGTTCTGCTTCCTACATTATCAAAAGTGTTTCCTTGGTTGTAAAGCACCTTCAAATATCTTGAGGTTGTGAAAGATGCTAAATAAATACAAGCCTTTCGTTAAGGAAATGGCTCAAGTCTTTTTTTTCAAGCTGGTTTAATTGTATCCACTCTGTCAAGCCCCCTCAATAAGATCACTTCTGAAATCCAGAGGAAATGGGCTGTTCTAATTGATCCTTCCTGATGGGGCAGTCCCCTCCTCTCGGGCGTCTCAGCTTCCAGAAGTTTTCTGCATGGGGAGCTAATTTTATTGTGAATCTATGCTAAAGCCTTTGTATAAATTGGGTATAGTAGCTAACTGGTTGTGCTGGATGAGTAAATTAGCATATGATATTTATAGTTGTTAAAGTGAACCATGTTCCTGTATTTTGAAACTAACACTTATTGTACAGTAAAATATGAGCCATAATGTTTTAATTGTTATGCATTTCCACTTTCTATTTGTAGTAATGAATCGGAAGAGAAATTTGATACCAGATGTTTTCCGGCAGGTTAAGAAGCAAAAATTTGGATTAACAGAAGAATTTAAATTATTAGATAAGAATGGAGCCAAAGAATTTGAAGGTATCAATATTGATTTCCAAATAATACAATTGGAAAACATATTCTTTTACTTCTTTGTTGCCACAAACCTCCATCTCCCAGTGTAACGATTTCAGAAATTTTGCTCCTGCTTATAATTCTCGTTCAGACTTTGTCCCATCTGATCTCTGCAGCCAGTTGGAGCCCTAAACCCCACGTAAACCCTCCACTTGCCTGATTCTTTTATTTTAGGATTTAAAATGTATTTTTGATAGACATTCAAGCATCAGCAATTGTAACCTCCACTTCAACACCAGGCTAAATACTGATGGAGATAACCTGTTTCACGATTCCACCTCAACCTCGGCTCCATCAGTTTTAAACTTCTCACTTGCTGCACAGAAGAACGTAAGAAATAGGACCAGGAGTGTACGCCATCTTATGTCTTCAACCTGTTCTGCTGTTCAGTACAATTTATGGCAGTTTTCTGCCCTCTTCGCATATCCTTTGATTTCTTTATTGGCCAAAGATCTATCAATTTCATTTGAATTCCAAATTCAATCAAGAATTTCAAAGATTCACTACCTGAGTGAAAAGATCTCTTGTCGGCTCAGTCCTAAGTGGCCAACCCTGTATTCTGAGGCGTGGACTTCTAGTTCTAGATTCTGCAGCCAGGGTTAACAACCTTTCTGTGTCCACTCTGAACATGCTTTATGTTTCAATGAGATCACTTCTGAACTCCTGAGAAAATGGTTCATTCTAATCAGCCCTTCCTGATGGGACACCCCCTTCTCTCAGGATCTCTCAACTTCCAGAATTGGGGAGCTAATTTATTTTTTTGTGAATCCATGCTAAAGGCTTTATTTAAATTGGGTATAGGAGCTGACTGGTTATGCTGAACCAGTGAGCTAGAGGCTGTAGATTTAATTCCCACTAAGACAGCTTTGTCAGTCTTGCACATATTAAAGAGTTCAAACAAAATACAAGTTATTTGGGGAAAAAAATCCAAATTATAGCAATAAGTAGCTTATTCCTCACTAGATATTACTGCTAGATGTCAAGTTTTTTTTTTTAATCCAGATTTTATTATTGTAATTGAAAGAAAGCCCTTGATAATCGGCCTGCTCTATTTACAAAATGCACACAGATTTGTTTCAATTTAGGTTCCTGCAATTGTATAATAATTTTTGCTGTTTGGAAAGACTTTCAAATCCAAAAAATTAGAATTCTTCCTTCCTTTTTTTTAATAGGAATGCCAAACGATACTAAGTCTGCGCTGATTTTTTTAGCGTCCTTGTTTCCTCGTAAGTTATTTGATGATTCTCTTCCACCTATTGTTCTAAAACACCAACTTTACAGCATTGTTAAAGACAAAACTACAGTTGATCGTCAGCTGGTAAGTCCCATTACTATATGAAGCTACTATAGATGTGTTGCTGATATTTTTCAGAAACTAATCGAGAGATTGAGTTTGAAATGCATGTATAAGGATCAATAATGTAATTAGTCATATTTTGAGGGAATATTGGCATCTTCGTCTATTGGAGAGACAGATGTTTGTAATGATTGAGACACATCACTCCATACCAAGCATGGCGCAGGGCAAGAAGACAAGCCTCCAAGAAGTGCTGCAGCTAGGATAGCGACTAAGCTCGCATCATTCTGCAACACACTCGGGTCATCTGGTGGACTGAGTGAACTGACCCCATCATGGTTGATAAGTTGCTTTGTAACCATTTGAATTCCTTGTTCAGTAAAAATAGAAAACTCTGGAACCGTTTAGCAGTCAGACAGTATCTGTAGAGACAGAAACACAGCTATCATTTCAGGTAAATTTTCTTCAGTATTTCCTCATGACTGTGCCATCATGGATTATGTGCTCAAGTCACTTGAGCAAGATGTGAATCCACAATCTGCTGACTGAGGCAAGTATGCTTTCCACCGAAACAAGGTTGATACTGTAACTAATTATAATCACTTACTCACTAAATGTTTAGAATCTTGGGGTATTGACATTTATCTAAATTGACAGTTAATGATCTCACTGTCTTCATTCGTATATGTTGATCAGAATGAGCTGAAGGATCTGGGACATGTTCGTATTTTCCAATTTGGATTTGACACAGATGTGTTCGGCATTGTGTTCACTGAAGATTACAGAAGTAAGGTTTTGGCTGCAACAGCAATGAAAGAGACTGCTTCGACAGTGCAAAGGTTTCTGGACACTGTGTTGAACTCGTGTACGGATATTGGTTTCAACAAAGATAAAATGCTGAAGGAGTTTTCATTTCATGACCAAGAAATAACGTAGGTACATATGGTGATAATAAGGAATAACACATTAAAGAATTGCATCTTCCTGTAGGAAAGCAGCAGGACATTCAACATCTCAAACCTGTTCTGTGATTTAATTAGCATGCTATGACAGATTTTAATGACTTGAATGACCACTTAAATATATTTAAAAGAAAGCATTTCAAGAAGGTTTATTCAAAGTCTTGAAGAGAAGTCACTGACATGAAACAGAGTTGCTGCTGGATCTGCTGAGTATTGCTACTTTTTCTGCTTTATATTTATTCATTGTATTTATAAACTGTTGAGATGTTTGCTCACTGATAGAAAATCACTGATTTTCAAAATCCTAAAGTAGAAATATGAATGTTCTTCAGTTTTTGATTCAGATTTTTTTCTGTATAATTTGAAGAAGCAAATTTAGATGCCAATTAACCTTTTGTATATTAGCAGTGTTTAGAAAATGCCAATTAAGAACTTTCCAAAAAAGGCTGTGATAGCATTTGAATCACTGTAGAACCAGGCTGCAGGTGAAAGACACACTCAAGTTAATTACCTAAGTTTGTTTTGCTAAATTGATTCCCTTTTTTTCATTTAAGTGAAAAAGATGAGATCAAATGTGTTAAATTGTCACCAATGTATTGCATCATAATATGCTTGTGGCAGTACTTTACTGTGTCTCTGAAGTCTCTTGCTTTTGATTACTTACTTGGAAATGGGGTGATTGTTATATAGACAGATTGAGCAGCCACTTGGCACTGAGGCAGCATCGAGAAGAATGATCTGTTGTTAGTGTTTACTGAGGGGACGTATTGACCAGAATATTTGGAAGAACTTCCTAGTCCTCTTCAAATGGTATGATGTCCACTTTTTAGCTTTGGAAAACAGGACCTTTTTCTTTAATGTTGAACTTCCTTTCATATTATATGGAGACTATATACATTATAAAGTCATCTTCAGATTTGCAAATGCCAATGGAATAGCTGTAATCTCCATTGTATGTACAGAGGCTGTTCCTTAAGGTTAGCTCATTTGGCGACCTACTTTCATTTTAAAAGTACTTTTGTTTTTATTTTGTTAACAGGCAACTAGTGAATGCAGGACTTCTTACAGTACGAGATGTTGGAAGTTGGTGGCTTGCTATTCCAGGTGCTGGCCGATTTGTGAAATATTTTGTAAATGGTAAGTTCCATGCATTTGAAACGTGACTGTTGCTGATTGGCTCAAACAACTTTGAATTCAGTCAGAAGGCTGCAGGTTATTTTCTGTTTGGCTCTGAGATATAGCTCAATATTTTAATGACTAAAAGTGAAGTTATTAACCTTGGCTCAGTGCTAGCATGTTTAGCTGTGGCTCAGAAGCTGGACACTTGTGCAAATAATCTAGGCTGACTCTTCAGCTCAGTGCTGAGGGATTGTGGTTGTATGTTTCAGATGAGATGTAAAACTAGTGTTTGGTAGGAATGACATAGTACCAGAGTAAATGTAAAGACAGATGAGGATGATTTTAAATCTGAAAAGAACAAGTTAATTGCAAAAGACAGACAAGAGCAAGTCAGAGAGCAAAGTAAAAACTCTGAAGAATTAAACTGCATTTATTTCAACGCAAGGGCTCTTGCAGGTAAAGCTGATGAACTCGGGCATTTTTGGGAGCTTGGGATTGGGATGCAATAGCGATTACAGAAACCTGGACAGGATTGGCAGCTCAGTGGTCTGGGTTTCAGATACTTTAGGAAGGATAGAAAGAAAATTTGAAAGAAGAAATAAAAAAAAAAGATCGCCTCGATAGGATTGTACCAAGGTTCCCCACAGAGTCAGAGAGGAAAGTAAAGAACAAATATGTAGAGAGATCTCCAATATATGGAAGGCTAATAAGGTTATAATAGGTGATTTTAATTTTCCAAACATTGACTGGGACTACCATAATGTTAAAGGTTTGGTTGGTGAAGAATTTGTTAAATGTGTTCAAGAAATTTTTCTTTATCAATATGTAAATGTTCCTACTGGAGAAGGAGCAAAACTTGACCTTCTCTTGGGTAATAAGGCAAGCAACTGAATCAATAGTAGCGGAATACTTTGGGGCTAGCGATCACAGTTCTATTTGTTTTAAAATAGTTATGGAAAAAGATAAGGCTCTAAGGTTTTAAAGTAGGTTTGTAGCTTGCGTAGTGGATGTTGTGGTTGGTTGGCTGGCTCGCCGAACTGGTTCGTTGTTCCGCAGACGTTTCGTTACCCTGCTGGGTAATATCATCAGAGCAGCCTCCGATGAAGCACTGACAAACACTACATTGGACAACCAGGAAGGAAATTAACTACAAGGGTACACGAACATGAACTGGCAACAAAAAGACATGACCAATACTCCATCGTCTCTATCCACATGGATAAGGAGAACCACTAATTCGATTGAGACAAACAAAGCGGAGACAAGCATGGGAATTCCTAGAAGCCTGGTACTCCACTAAGGAAGCCATCAATAAACACATTGAGCTCGACCCCATATACACTCCATTGTGAAGGAAAACTGGAAGTGAGGTAATCCAGCCCAACGGACATCAGAGTTCAAATAACAGGCAGGAAAACACAGCAGCACTTCATCGGAGGCTGCACTGATGATGTTACCCAGCAGGGTAATGAAACATCTGCAGAACAACGAACCAGCTTGGCGAGCCAACCGGCCACAAAAGATAAGGCTTCTGTAAAAATTAAAGTTTTTTTTTTAAATTGGAGTAAGGCAAATTTTAATGGTATATGACAAGAATTTTGAAAGATTGTTTGGATTAGACTCTTCACAGGTAATAGGAGTCTTTAATAAGTGTGATGATGAGAGTTCAGAATCATTGTTCCTGTTAGTGTGAAAGGTAAATCTGGTAGGATTAGAGAATGAAGGATGAATAAATATATTGACTTTCTAGTCAAGAATAAAAAAAATCTCATATTTAAATAAAGACAAGTGGGTTTAAATGAATCTTCTGAACAGTATAAAGAGTGGAGGGGCATTCTAAAGAGAGATCAGGAAGGCAAAGAGAAGATATGAGAGCACCTTGGCAAATAAATTTAAGAATAATCCAGAGAGATTCTACAAGTACATTAAGAGCTAGAGAGAGAGAGTAGGGCCACTTTAAAGATTTAATAAGTCATCTTTATGTTGAACTTCAGGAGATGGGAGAGATATTAAATGAATATTTTGCATCAGTTTTTACCGTGGAAAAAGAAATGGAACCTAGAGAACTCAGGGAAGTACATTTTTTTTTTTTATAAGCAGATCACATTACAGAAGAGGAAGTGCTGGAAGCCTTCTAAAACAAAAAGGTCGATAAATCTTCGCGACCTAATCTAGTGTATCCCAGGACTTTGTGGGAAGTTCGGGAGGAAGTTGCAGGGTCCCTTGCAGAAATATTTGCATCATCTATAACTATGGGTGAGGTGCCAGATGACTGGGAAGTGGCTAATGTTGTGTCTTTGTTTAAGAAGGGATTCAGGGAGAAGCCTGGGAATTATAGACCTGTGAATCTGACTGCGGTCATGAGTGCATTGTTAGAGGTGATTCTGAAAGATTGGATTAATATGCATTCGGAGAGGCAAGGAATGATGAGGGAGATTCAGCGTGGTTTTCTGCGAGGGAAATCGTATCTCTCGAACATGATTGAGTTTCTTAGAAACATAGAAACATACAAGGAGGAGGAGGCCATTTGGCCCATCAAGCCTGCTGTGCCATTCTTCACAATCATGGTTGATCGTCCAACTCAATAGCCTCATCCTGCTTTCTCCCCATAACCTTTGATCCCATTTGCACCAAGTGCTATCTCTAGTTGCCTTTTGAATACATTCAATATTTTGGCATCAACTACTTCCTGTGGTAATGAATTCCACAGGCTCACCACCCTTTGGTTGAAGAAATGTCTCCTCATCTATGTCCTAGATTGTTTGTCTGTCTGTCTGTCTGTCTGTCTGTCATCCTCATACTGTGACCCCTGGTTCAGGACACAACCATCATCAGGAACATCCTCCTTGCATCTACCCTGTCCCGTCCTGTTATAATTTTATAAGTCTCTATGAGATCCCCCACCCCACCCCCATTCATCTGAACTCTGGCGAAAACAATCCCAACCTAGTCAAAGATAACACTGTAGAGCTGGAGGAACACTACAGGCCAGGCAGCATCAGAGGAGCAGGAAATTTGACGTTTCGGGTCGGGACCCTTCTTCAGAAATGGGAGAGGGGGAAGGGAGCTCAGAAATAAATAGTGAGAGGAGGGGTGGGGCTGGGGATGGTAGGTGGGATGGTGATGGGTGAGTGCAGGTAGGGAGTGGTGGAGATTGGTCAGAGAGGTGGGAGAGAAGATGGACAGGTTGTGTCAGGTCAAGGAGGCGGGGATGAGAGGGAGGGTTTGTCATGGGATGAGACCGGGGGGTGGGGAGATTTTGAAACTGGTAAAATCCACATTTAGGCCATTGGGCTGTAGGCTCCTAAGGTGGAATATGAGGTGTATGTAGAGGTTGTCGTGATGAGGGCCAAATTGGGATGGCCTGAATATAGATTGGAGTCCATAGGGGATGATCTGATTCCATAGGCAGGTATTGAGAAAGGAGATGTGGCTGTAGTACCTGGTTTGCTTCAGTCTGTGTTCGAAGAGTTTCAGGGCCGAAGAGATTACCAGAGGGTTGCAGTGGGAGAGAGATCCACTGAGGTCTTTCCGGAGGGAGGAGGATAACTTCTTCAAGGTGAGCATCCCTAGAAGAGGCTTTGCAGTGGGGTTATAACTCATTCAGAGATAGTAAGAACTGCAGATGCTGGAATCAGAGATAACACAGTGTGGAGCCGGAGGAACGCAGCAGGCCAGGCAGCTTCAGAGGAGCAGGAAAGTTGACGTTTCGGGTCGGGACCCTTGTTCAGACATGAGGAAGGGGGAAGGAATCTCACTTTTTTTTTTGAGGAAATTACCAAGAATATTGAAGGCAGCGTGGTAGACATTGTTTACTTGGACTTTAGTAAAGCCTTTGACAAAGTTCCACATGGTAGACTAATTAGTAGAATTAGATCTCATGGGGTTCTGGATGAGCTTGCCAATTGGATACAAAATTGACTTAATGGCAGGAGACAAAGGGTGGTGGTGGAGGATTGTTTTTCAGACTAGAGGTCCAAGACCAGTGTTCCCCAGGGATCAGTGCTGGGCCTACTTTTGTTTGTCACTTATATAAATGATTCCGATGAGAATATAGATGGCATGGTTAGTAAGTTTGTGGATAACACCATGATTGATGGTATAGTGGACAGTGGTGAAGGTTATCTCAGCTTACTAAGAGACCTTGATCAATTGGGTCAATGGGCTGAAGAGTGGCAGATGGAGTTTAATTTGGATAGATGTGAGGTATTACATTTTGATAAAAGAAACAAAGGCAGGTCTTATGCAATTAAAAGTAGGGCCTTGGCTGGTGTTATAGAACAGAGACACCTAGGGGTTCAGGTACATAATTCTTTGAAGTTTATGTCACGTATAGCAGTGGGGTTTGAGAAGGCATTTAGCACACTTGCCTTCATTGCTTAGACTGTTTGAGTATAAGAGTTAGGACGTTATATTGAGGTTGTACAGGACGTTGGTGAGACCTCTTCTAGAGTACTGTGTCCAGTTCTTGTCGTCCTGTTATAGGAAGGCTATTATTAAGCTGGAGAGGGTCCAGAAGAGATTTATCAGGATGCTGCCAGGTATGAAAGTTTTGAGTTATGGGGAGAGGCTAGATAGGCTGGAACATTTTCCACTGGAGCGTAGGAGGATGAGGGGTGACCTTTTATAGATGTTTATAAAATCATGACGGGTATAGGTAAGGTGGATGGCAAGTGTCTTTTTCCTCGGGTGGGAGATTTCAAGACTACGGGGTATATTTTTAACGTGAGAGGAGAAAGATTTTAAAAAGACCTGAGGGGCAATTTTTTTTTTTTTTTTACACAGTGGTTCATGTGTGGAATGAACGTCCAGAGGAAATGGTGGATGCAGGTATAATTAAAACATTTAAAAGACATTTAGATAAGTACACGAATAAGAAATGTTTGGAGGGATGTGAGGCAAGAGTGGGCATGTGGAATGCGCTGCCGGCAGTGGTAGTGGAGTCAGATACTTTAGAGACTTTTAAACAATTCTTGGATAGGCAGATGGAGAATAGTAAAATGTAGGGCATACAGGGTAGATTGATTTTAGTAGGATAATAGATCAGCACAGCATTGTGGGCTGAAGGCCCTGTACTGTGCTGTACTGTTCTATGTTCTGTGTTTTAAGCACAAGCAGGGGGAGTAGTTTTTGGATTATGGATGGCATGGACTGGTTGGACCGAAGGGTCTGTTTCTGTGCTGTATGATTTTATGACATTATGACTGTAGGAATATAAAAGATTTCATGGCACTATTCAGTCAAAAGCAGGAGAGTTCTTTTGTTGTCCTGACTGATATTTAGCCATCAAACCATATCACGGAAATAGAGTATCACATTTCCTGTTAATAGGACTTTACCACGTGCAAATTGAGTTATTTACAAAACAACTGGTAATTTTTCAAAGTACATTCACTGATTGTCCTGAGACCCTGAAAAGTGTTTTATTATTTTAAGAAAGGTATTTCAGAAAAATGCTACAAATGTTTCAAAACTCACTCTAATACTGTGACAGTCCAGTGACGGTGTGGAATGATGCTTTGGTATGGCATTTCAATACAGAGTGGTAGAATCAAGTTTTGCTGTAATACTCTCCCAGTCTTGTACCAGTGATTTTTCTTGCATCTGTCTGCTTTTGGATGTTGTTTAACAGTTAACAGTCGCCAGTTAAAAGATACCCCTTGCATTGGTTACACATCACAGGTCGCAAAGCTGTTCTTCGCATGATACGGAAATCTAAATACAATGAGGTTTTGCAGTCTGACTTAGAAGCACGTAAAGTGACGTCCACAGTGAAGTTAGGGATCCAGTATCATGTCCATGACATCGTTGGAGCAGAGTTGGTGAAATGGTGAAGTAGCCCTTTTTTTTTTGTTTAATTCAATCAGCATAATCTATGGGGAATTATCTACTACTTACTAGGGATCTGTTGTTAAGTTTTGGTGAAATTAAGAGAATGTGCAATGCATAGACAGGAAAGCTAGGTTTGCTTCGATTCCTGTCTGAGATCAGTTGATGTTCTCGAATTAGCAACATCAACATTTTAGATTGGGAGGAAGTAAATTAGCCAAATTACGGTCTGGGAGCAGCAGCTGCCAATCAATTAGAAATGCCTTTTCTGATAAATTAGTGTGTGAACACTAGACAAGGATATGATTGGAGCTCTGCCATGACCTTTGGTTTTTTTTGCTGCTCCACTCTGCAAATTGCTGTTGTACCAGTAACTGATGGGGAGAATGCATGAACCTCATGCAAGGTTCTGTTTGCACAGCAAGAGAAAACAATGTGAATAAAGCTGCACATACCTGCTGGGAGAAAATCGCTCTCTGCTCCCTTTAGTTGGGGGAGGGGTGATGATATAAATGATGTGACCTAAGCAGAAATCATCATTTTAGGAAAACAAAAGGATAATAAAGAATTTAAATACCTTTTCACGTCTTTCAAAGTGGTTTTGACATGTGTTTCATTTGTCATTGATATCCATAAACTTTAGAGCACAAAGTGGTCTTTGTTCTATTGCACTATTGTAGGCTGTCTGAAAAAGTTAGTTACAATTGCTGTGTCCTTTCTTAATTTTAAGATGGTTCATATATTTTTTTCAACTATTCATTTATTTTCACCCTCTTATTCCAAACTGATGAATTGAAAACATTGAATTTCTATTTCATGTTACGATTGGAATGTGAGGGTTGTAGGAGTTATATTTTATACACTTTCTGCTTTTTCTTTTCAGCATTCCGACAACTACTGGAACTTTGCTGCGCTTGAATGAATCCTGATCCACAGACCCTACTGCAAATCAACCTATGGACCAAGTTTGATCTGAATATTATTACTGCGAGAGGATGCTGGGAAAAAGGAGCAATTTGAAAAGAAGCAGGGGAAAAAGGATATAGACATTTTTAAAAAAACATCCAATATTTTGCTGAAAAATCTGATACTATGAGACTAAATATTTTGACTATATATTTGCCAAACCTGTGATACAAGACTAACATTAACTTCAATATTTAAAAATATATATTGATTATATTCAGTTAAATTTTACTTAGTTCAAGTTTAACTTTGGGAAATGGAATGAATTTCCCAATGTATGATGAGCATGTTGGATCAACATATGGGAAGCTCAGATTACAGTGCAACAAAATGTATGAGTTGTACATTCAATAGATTCTTGGGTTAACTGAGACTTTAACCTGGATCATTTCAAATGCTAAAATGGAGCATTAAATCCATTATTTAACACTTGAATTACTTGAAGCAAGACTACAAGTCATCAAGCCATTTTTGTCAAAAGGAAGTAGAGACCCAATGGTTAAGTTTAGAATTTGGTTTTCACTTAATTTCCAAGTCAGTTTATCTATGCAAACTTATGATATATACAAGAATGACCACAAAGCAGAGAAATCTGTCATTAACTACAAATGTTGTGAACTTGGACCCCAAATGGAAATGTGGCATCTGGTTGATTAAAATCATTATAATCAAATGAATAGCATCTGTAAGCTGCCTTGTGAATCATGCTGTGACTTCGTATTGTATAGAATACTTTATGGATCTGTTTGTTTATGTTAAACAATTGGTTGAACCATCTGCTGCCAGATTTAGGTAGTCCCATTATTGAGTCCCGCTGCTGTCTGCGAACATTTTTCACTATTGCAGGATCATCCTGGAAAACAATTTTATTTTTCTTTCACGGGATGTGAGCATTGCTGGCAAGGCCAGCATTTGTTGCCTAATCCCGACTGCCCTGAACAGAGTGGCTTGCTAGGCATTTTGAGAGGGCAGTTAAGAGTCAACCGCATTGCTGTGGGTCTAGAGTCATATGTAGACCAAACCAGGTAAGTACAGCAGATTTCTTTCTCTAAATTAATGAACCAGATGGATTTTCTTTAACAAAAATTGATTGTTTCATAGCAACCACGAATGTGACTAGCTTTCATTTCCAGATTTATTAATTGAATTTAAATTCCACGATCTGCCATGCTGATTAACTTATTGATTTTTACTCTTATCCTGAGATTGTTGGCCTGGACATTTGGATTACTGGTCCAGTGACAATACCACCACACTGTCATCTCCAGGAATGTCAGATCAGCCATGATCCTACTGAATGACAGAGCAGGCTCAAGGGGCAAAATGGCTTACTCCTGTTCCTATTTATTATTGTCTTATGAACTACTCTCACCTGGTTCTATTCTTATCTATATAACAGTACCAAGAATATCACTTGCAGAGGCTTCTCTTCTTTCTTGTGCTCTGTTGCCTGTGATATCTCTAATGATCAGTCTCTGGCTTCCTCTTATTTTTCATCAATGTGCTGCTGATACCATCCAAAAGAACAACACCACTAGTTTCATACATACATTGATGATTCTCAGTTCCACCTTGCTGCAACCTGTCTAGATTCCTGCACTATTGCTAAACTATCAAACTGTATATCTGACACTTAACGCTGGATGAGAAGAAATTTCCTCTAAATATTGGGAAGATTGAAGCCGTTATTTTTGGTTCCCCACCAAACACCATTCCATAATTACTGTCATCCCCTTCTCTGGCAACAGTCTGAGATTAAGACAATCTGTATCTAATTTTAGTATTACTTAAGATTCCAATTTCATATCACGCCATTCCTGCCCTGTAACATTATAAAATTTCAGCCCAATCTCTGCTCACCATTTAAAATCCTTGTTCATGCATATGTTGCTGTAGACTTAACCATTCAAATGTACTTCTGGCTGGTCACCTACATTTCTACCCACTGTATACTTGAGGATTTCCAAAACACACCTTTTGTCTTCACTTGCCTCTGTGGTCACTGATTCACGTTTCCTATTGGTCATGTCATGTCATGTCTTGATTTTAAAAATTCTCATCCTTGTTTTCAGATCCCTTGCTGGTCTTGCTGTCTGTAATCTCTTCCAAGAAACTTTTTTGTTCCTGTGATTCTGGCATTTTGAGAATCCTTGATTTTAATTGCTCCATGTTCAGTTGTGTAGGCTCTGAGCTCTAGCATATACTTCCTGCATCTAATTTGCCTTCTTCCTTTAAGACATTTCTTAAAATCTACCTCTTGAGCTTTTGATCACTTGACTTAATATCTCTTTGCATGACTTGGTGTCATATATTGCTTTATAATGTTTCTGTGAAGCAGCTTGAGGAATTTTGTGATATTAAAGGTGCTATATAAATTTATGTTGCTGTAAAGTGTACTATTTTGCCGTGTAATAAATCTAACTTACAAATATTCAGTACTTCTACTTAATCAGCTCTTTTTTTTTTAAATGTGAAATGTGTTCTAGGTTTCTCAGAAGCAGACATGAGTCAGAAGATTTTGGGATACTAGAGAATTTGGGGGAAGATGTTTTGAATCTGAGAGCGGTAATGTGGGACTTGCTACCACGTGGAGTAGTTGACAGAATTGCATGAACACATTTAAGGAGCAAACTTGGCAATCACATGAAGGAGAAAAGATATCAAAGGGCGGAGAAACCTGGTTTAGAGGGTCAACACTGGCCTGACCAGTTGAACTGATCCAAAAACAGAAATTGCTGGTAGCATATGTGGAGACAATCAGGCTTGGCATTCTGAGTCCAGTGATCCTTCAGAATTGATAATAGCTAGGAAAAGGTGGTATATATGTTTAAGACAGGGGTGGGGTTGAAAAGAAGAGAGAAGTGAGCAGATAGAAAACAACAGGCAGATAAAGGAATGGCTGATAGTCTGGCAGGTAGAATGCTGATAACGGGTACCATGAGTAGATGAAAATGAGTTGGCTGTGCTGAAAGCAGCCCATGTTATGACAGAGCCTGGATTGTAGGTGTGGATAAAGGACTTGGAAGAAGTTGTTCAGGTTCTAAGATTGTCAAATTTGATATCGAGTCCTGAAGGCTGCAGAGTCCGCGTACAGAAACAAAGTCCTGATAAAGGATTTTGGCCTGAAACATTGACTTTCTTGCTCCTCAGATACTGTCTGACCTGCTCTGCTTTTCCAGCTCCACGTTTGTTGACTCTAGCTTCCATCATTGCAGTCTTTACTGTCTCCAAGAAAGTGAGACCTGTTCGTCCAGCTTGCTCTGAGCTTCACTGGAGACTGCAGCAGGCACAATGCAGAAATGTTAGCCAGAAAACAGTGGTGTGTTGAAGTGGTAGCCAACTGGAATCTGTCATTTGTGCAGACAGACGTAGGTTGCAAATTCTTTGAAAAGTGAACAGAAACTTTATTGTAAAGAGATGAGTGCTAAGGAAGTTTGAAAGGGTGTGAGATATCTGGGTTAGAAAATGAAATTTCCTGCTAGTGTGTTGCTAATGGTATGCAAGAGAAAGAATCTGAAGGCCAAGAAAGCCAGTCAGTAATAACAAGTGGAGATGGAGAATTGATGCAGTTTCAGAACTAGAATATGAGAAACCAACAGAGGTATTTAGAGCAACTTGTATTTATAGCACCTCCCATGTAATAAAACAAGTTTCATGACAGAAGTTTTACAACATAAAACTTGGCATAAGATATTAGGGCAAATGCTGTAAGTTTGGCAAAGAATTAGTATTTGAGGATTTTCTTAATGCAGGCAGAACTTGTCATTTGCATACAGAACTGGCTTGAATGTAGACGACAGAGGGCGGTGGTGGAGGGTTGCTTTTCAGACTGGAGGTCTGTGACCAGTGGCGTGCCACAAGGATTGGTGCTGGGTTCACTACTTTTTGTCATTTATGTAGATGATTTGGATGTGAACATAGGAGGTATGGTTAGTAAGTTTGCAGATGACACCAAAATAGGTGGTGTAGTGGACAGCCAGGAAGATTACCTCAGACTACAATGGGCCAATGGGCTGAGGAGTGGCAGATGAAGTTTTTAATTTAGATAAATGTGAGGTGCTGCATTCTGGAAAGGCAAATCAGGGCAGGATTTGTGCACATAATAGTAAGGTCCTGGGGAGTGTTGCTGAACAAAGACCTTGGAGTGCAGGTTCACAGTTCCTTGAAAGTGGAGTTGCAGGTAGATAGGATAGTGAAGAAGACATTTAGTATGCTTGCCTTTATTGGTTAATGCATTGAGTTTTGGAGTTGGGAGGTCATGTTGTGGCTGTACAGGATGTTGGTAAGGCCACTTTTGGAATACTGCATGCAGTTCTGGTCTCCCTGCTTTAGGAAGGATGTTGTGAAGCTTGAAAGAGTTCAGAAAAGATTTATAAGGATGTTGCCAGGGTTGGAGGGAGGCTGAATAGGCTGGGGCCGAGGGGTGACCTCGGAGGTTTATAAAGTCATGAGGAGCATGGAAAAGGTGAATAGCCAAGATCATTTTACCAGGGTAGGGGAGTCCAAAACCAGAAGGCATAGGTTTAATGTGAGAGGGAAAAGGCTTAAAAAGGACCTAAAGGGGCAACTTTTTCAAACAGACAGTGGTGCGTGTATGAAATGAGCTGCCAGAGGAAGTGGTGGAGGCTGGTACAATTACAACATTTAAAAGGCATTTGGAAGGGTATGTGAAGAAGAAGGGTTTAGAGGGATATGGGCCAAATGCTGGCAAACGGGACTAGATTAATTTAGGATGTCTGGTCAGCATAGACAAGTTGGACGAAATAGTCTTGTTTCCATGCTATACAGCTCTGACTCTATAAATGTTATGGGTTGGGAATGCCAGAGCTTGGAGCCTTGGCAGCTGCGTGCACACACACACTCACCAACGCAGAGTGATTGTAGATGCTCAATACCAAATTAGTATTAGGTGAAATGTGACGAGATTATGGCTACAAGAGAGAAGAGACTGGAAGAATTTGAAAATATCGGTGAGAACTGTAAAATCGGTGAGTTGATAGAGGTCAGCAACATCGGTGGTGGGTAAATAGCATAAATTAGGATCTGGGCAGCAGAGTTTTGGATGACCTCAAATCTGTGGAGTGTAGAATGTGAGACCGGACTGTGGGAATATCTGGAATCTGCAATGATCGTTTCAGGAGCAATTATACTGAGGTAGGGATGGAGTTGGATGGGGGTAAAGAATTTAAACATTGGCTCTCCATTTAACAATGTTACTCTTCCGGAGTTGCTTCGGAGCCCAGCCACTCTCCGGAGATGCCCGAGCCCCTCCGGAGGTTACCGAGCCGGCGGCGGCTCCTCTCCGGACTTTGCCGAGTTCGGCCGGTCAGGCCACGCCGGGGCCACGGCAACCAGAATTGAGTCTAATCGATCAGTCTCCGGTTACACCGATTAACCGACAGTAAACCAACGAGTTGTCGGTCAGCGTCAGAGAGTGCCAACATGAGGGAAGATGTGAGGATCCTGCTGGTGGGAGAACGTGAGTACGATACGTTTATTGGCGAAATATTGAAAGTACTCAGGCGGGGGGCAGAGTTAGGAGAGGGTTGGGACAGAGAGATGTTGGACTGGGATGGGGGTAGGCAGAGAGAGAGAGGGTGGACTGGGATGGGGGTGGGCAGAGAGAGAGAGAGAGAGAGGGTGGACGGGGATGGGGGTGGGCAGAGAGAGAGAGAGAGAGAGGGTGGACTGGGA